GGACAGGAGGCTCCCCTTGGTCATTGGTGGAACCCAACAGAACCAGCCAGAACTCTACCAGTCTCTGATGTCTATCTAGGGACAGGAGGCTCCCCATGGTCATTGGTGGAACCCAACAGAACCAACCAGAACTCTGCCAGTCTCTGATGTGGTGAACAACAAGTGAAATTGTGCACTCCAGATCAGTAAATAAGCGCAAGCAAGCCCGTGTGTACTTTGCTTATTGGGTGATCAGTCTCTGGCCCCATGCAAAGACCAAGAGGGCTACTGTGTACGGCCAGTGCTCTGCAAACTCCAAGGCAGACAAGGCATGCCAATTGTTATTATCTACTCAGCACCACAACAACAGGCATAAGGAAGAGGAACTTAGGGGAACAGCATGTAGCTTCAAAACTAGGCAGGAGTGTTGGGTAGGAGACCCATTAGCGTACCTTTGGGAAGAGGGCCTGGTGGCAGACCAGACAGTGGACAGGGGCTCTGTGTATGGCTATGTGGATTGCGCCAATGTGAAATCCAACCATGTCCAGCTTGTCAAGCCTGGCAACACTGGCCATGGGCTGAGTTAGCACATAGCAAGGACACCTGCTCCTCTCTCTGCCTCCCTGAAGGGGTACCTTTCACACTTCCTCCAACAAAAGTGGGTGCCCCTTGTACTTGCACATGTACTTCATGTATCCACTGTGACCTGGGGACCCCAGTGTGGGCAGAGACCTGTTGGAAAGCCTCTGATCTTTCATTGTCCTTTTCACTCTGTCTTAGTTCTCTCGTGCTGCTATAAAGAAACACCACAATGGGTGGCTTTAACAAACAGAAGTTTATTTTCTTACAGTCTCGGAGGCTAGAAGTCTGACTTCAGGGCACTGGCTCTAGGGGAAGGCTTTCTCTCTCTGCTGGCCCTGGGGGAAGAGCCTCGTCTCTTTCAGCTGCTGTTTCTTGGTTCCTTGGAGGTCTCATGTGGTGTGGCATCTGTCCTCCCCCACTGGGGTTTGCTGGGTTGGTTGCTTGCTCAGTCCGCTCTTTTATATCTCGAAAGGGATTGACTTAAGACACACCCTTTGCTAATCCTGCCTCATTAGCATAACAAAGAAAGCCCGTTCACAAATGGGATTATAACCACAGGTATAAGGGTTAGGATTTACAACACATGTTTTAGCGGGACACAGTTCAACTCATAACACACCCCTTCTTTCCTGTAGAGGAGCCCCTGGGTGGTGCAAACAGTTAATGTGCTTGGCTGCAAACCAAAAGGTTGGAGGTTTGAGTCCACCCAGAGGTGCCTCAGAAGAAAGGACTGGTGATCTACTTCTGGAAAATCAGCCACTGAAAACCCCAGGGGGCACAGTTCTACTCTGACACACAATGGGGTTACCATGAGTCAGAATCGAGTCCACGGCAACTGGTTGCCTTCAGAAGTTTTTCTCAGCTTCAGGGCAGGGCCTCACTCCCACCTACATGGACTAACAGAGGACCTCCAGAGATCTTGAGGCTCCCTCGATTTTGGGGAAATCCCACTTCTAGTCCCCCCAAATCCCAAGAGCAGATGAAGGGCTCCAAAGAGTGGAGAATAAAACCAGAGCCAAAGAGAAAAAGAAAAAAAGAAAAATCAGAGACAAAAACTGCAAGTGGAGCTAACAAGGAAGAGGCCATCCGCAGCTCAGCTTCCTGCTGGGAACATAGCCCCCCATGTCGGTACTGACGCCCGGGCAACAGCCCCCGTGGTGATGAGGGTCTGTGCTTTCATTTTTATTATTTGCGCAGCAAGTTGAGCCGGCAGCGTGGGTCACTGGTGGCCATTTTCAAAGGGCTCCCTCCTTAGCAATAAGGAAAAACGTGGCGGGTGTCCACGGAGGGGCAGGTGTGAGGCTGCAGGGTGTGGTTAAGCATTGGCCCAGGAAATATTAATCACTGGCTCTTCTTTATTGATGTGTCAGGGCGAGGACAGGGAAGGCTGGTTGGGTAAACTCTCGAGCCTGGGGTCGATCATGATGGACGCCATCAAGTTGGAGGGGGGAAGAGTGCATGAAAACAAAGGCTGCCTGGAAATCAAAGGGGAGCAGGGGTTTTATCGTCACCACTTGCCAATATCAGTATTTCACCGCCAAGTGACAGGCACTCCGAGGACGTTGGGCGTTTGAAGACAAAGTGCTGTGACTTCAAAGGGACTTAAAGATGGGCTCTGGCCTTCCATCATTTACAAACAACTTTCTTGTGTCTCCTTTGACCTGGCAGGTCTTAGATGGAGAGATCAGAGCTGGCTCTGCATTGAGGGAGCTGACCTCCTCATGTGTGTGTGTGGGTGGGTGGGCATGCGCGTGTGTGCAGGCATGCCTGTGAGTGCATGCAAGTGTGTGAGCATTGATTGGGGAGGACCTGTTTCCTATGGCAGGACAAAGATGGGGTGATCTGTTCTGGGCAACCTGAGGGGCTGTAACCAGGGGAAATTGATGGAATCCAACAAAGAAATTGAGATTGACCCTTGGGGAATTTCTCAGTTAAAAGGTAGGAAAAACCCTTGACCCTGCCCCTTATAGGCCAAGTAGAATCAGTAAAACACTTAAGAATACGTAATCAGGAATGCTTATGTTCAGGGGCCAAAATAAGATATTATAGCGGAACTCCTTGTCCTCTTTATTTTTGGAGACTCTTCTTGTCAATAATTTATGAGGATGAGAGAGAGAGTGTTTTTTAAAAAAATATTTTTAAAGGATGCTTAATTTCCCTCTCCTTTAAGCTATTCCAATCGCTTGGTACTAATCA